TAAGATACTGTCATATTGACCAGAAAACCTGCACACCCATGTCACATCTCTTGAGTGGTTCAAGAGGTGTAAGATGACAATAAACATACAAATATGTGAACATGTCACTTTCAACCTCTGGATAATAACTACTGTTCCTAACTTCTACAATAGTATCCTTTTTCCACCAGCTAATGAAGTTCGCTATTTTGGGATATAGTGACAAACAACCCACATGAAACCCACACACACTACTCAAAAAACAAGAATTCAACACATGCTTCAGACTTCTTCAAAGGTTGCTGGACGAACGATCAAAACTGACAAACGCCATTAAACTTCGGGGTTCAAAAAAGTTCCAACCTCCAACGTATCCAATCCCGACAATCCAAAATCCTCCGAACTATCGTCAATGTGCCTTTCTTCCAATCTTCCCAATCACAATGATCTTAATACCTATCCCAATCAGCACAATGAAATAGCGAAAATCCGCTACATGATTTCACATACAATTATTCGTCCACTCAAACCTTCATGTCTGAAATCTTTCATTATGTAAAGTATGTGTGCTATCTTCCCAGACTGATCTTCTCTGACCTAGCGATCTCTTAAATCCTGAAAGTCAAAGTGAAACTAATGAGTAGTTTTTCTTTATTCGTATTTATGTATATTTTTTGGATTCATTTTTGTTTTTGTCCTAAGATGTTATCAAATCAACTTAAGCGCAGCAATTGGCGCAGGTGTAAATTAAAATTAATTAATTTTAAAAAATCTATCCTTAAAGAATCAGCACTCTGTACTCTCCATTCTGCCTCTTACGTAAAACTATTATTAACTAATAACTATTTTTCATTCATTTAAATCCAGTTCATTTATTTAAATTAGATAAGGTCTAATGAGAGAAATGTTTTTTGTCTTAGGAAATATTCTCTTCAGGTTGTAAAATTTAAAAATTCTACTACAGGCCTTTATCTTATTTAATTTGTACCAAAACCGTAACGAAAACTATCAAAATTGACTACATATCGTGAATTGTAAAAATACTTGTTATAATAACTTAAAAAAAATGAAGGTGATGAATAAAATCTTACTTCGTTTACAGTTTCACCGATTTCCCTCGACGTCTCTTATTCCATTATAAGAAAGATTTAACGAAAATTTGTAAATAAATGTTTTAATCACTGAGATGTCCCCATTGTTAATTTATTATTAATAAAGCACCTCTTTGACGTAACAGCAAAGGGGTGGATTTTTATCTCACTTCCGGTAGGTCATTTATTTTTCATCTTCGTCAGAAATAGAAACGCTTAAAGAAGATCGTGCAGGTTAAAAAAAAAATTATTCTAGTTAAAATATTTAAATTGAAGAAACAATTTCTTTGCAAGGTAAGAGTTGTAATAGAGTAATCATTTATTAATGATTAACTAATTATTTCTATTTTTAACGGTCTTTCTCTCTCTCTTTCTTTCATTCTTTCTTTCTCTCTCCCTCCCTCACTATTGATTGTATGCTAAATTCAGTTTTCTTTTTTACATGAGGGTTTAATGTGTGCAGTTCGTCACAATGTTCGATTGAATTTTTTGAATCCTTAAACAGATATATTTTAGATACGTAAAAAGTGTCTCATGGACAGACGTCACCTCATAAATTATGTGCCCACTTCTATTACACACGTGAAGAGTGGAAATCAAAGATCACATCTATTCCGAGTGTTCCTCGTGGGAAGCGTGTCAGAACGGTGAAAGAATACAAATCGACCCCAGCGGATCCCCCTCCAAAGTTTCTCCGGCTCAAATTTCCGTAGGATTTACGCAGTTTTGCTGTTTAATCTGTTAGCGCGTAGTGCGCAATTTGTTTTGTAAAATGATCGCTAATGCTTCTGGTATTAGCATTTTCATAACTGAAAAACAAAATAGCACGAACACTGGATTTAAATAATTAAGGTTTTAAGTTGAGATAAAAAAGTCAGTGTCACGAGCGGGATTCGAACCCACGACCTTCGGCTAAATACGCCGCTGCTCTACCACTTGAGCTATCGTGACTTCGATCCCCTCGGGCACCAACTTCCCGCTCGTGACACTGACTTTTTTTTATTTCAACTTAAAACCTTAATTAATTGAATGTTATTAATTGTTCAAGCGGACGACGAAAAATAGTGAATTTAAGGAATTGAAATGAAGTACACTTCACTAAAGCTCTCCGTGGCCAATTCATTTGTCGGCGAGATTCCAATCCGATTACACGACATTTGAAAAATGGCAAAAAGGAGGGAAAATTCAAAAGGTGGGGTTGAGATGCCCGAGGGGATCGACTCAAGTGGTAGGGTAGCGGCGTATCAAGCCAAAGGTCGTGGGTTCGAATCCCGCTCGTGACACTGACTTTTTTATCTCAACTTAAAACCTTAATTAATTGAATGCTATTAATTGGTCAAGTGGACCACGAAAAATAGTGAATTTACTGGGCTTAAAGTGCATCATTAAAAGGTCATATCCTCCACATTTATCGTACCAAACTAAAAGCCATTAAAACCAGTTTAGAAAGAATCCTTTTTTTACCATAGCTGTAAAGAATCATGAATTTACGGCTTTTAAAGAGTCTTTTCCACAACAATTATAATGTTTACGAAAAAATTTCTAAATGTGTCCTTGTCTACCGTACCTATCTGTATGTCTCTGCCCTTAGGAACCACCGTACTTCCCAAACCTACAGAAATTTGCTTCAATTATTCTGATCTTGAAATCCAACGAACTACTGCCCAACGTATCCTATGATTCTATAAGTCTACTTCCCTTGATGAGAAATATTCTTGAAAACCTCCTCCAACAAATTATGCATCTAGTACATTCCTTTAATAAATTCTTGATCCATCGGCTTCCGACACCTACGCACTACAGTTCAGCAATGCCACCGGCAAGCATCGATCGCATCTGGCATGACAGCAAGCTCAAAGGTTTCCATTCCACTACGTACTGCTTCATCATAAAGTCCTAATGTCAGTAACGTACGGTTCTTCACAACCCCCGATCCATCCTGCCCGGGCAGGAGTCCAATATATGACTACTTACCATCCTTCTTAAGTAGTAAAGGTTTGCTTATTATATACAGCTGAAATCCCTGATTATCCGAATACCTCCCTATCCACTTTTCCCGGCGATACTGCAAACATCTCACAAATATCCTTTCTTTACTGTTCATTCCCTACTCATCTTACCGATCAGATCTGGCATGGTAGAATGCTGTGTAAACTCAAAGACATCTTTCCAGTTATTTGTCGGTAACGTACGGTACTTCCCAATCACCCACCCATCCTGTCTGGCCAGGAGTTCTCCATAGTAATATCATTGGTCCTATCATTTGCTTCATATATACTGCTGACATTCCTAAGTATGCCAATATTTACCTGTTCACATTTGTCGATGATACAGCAACCCTGTCCGCTTGTTATTTACAGCCTCACTTTTTGGAAATTGCTACAGACAGCTCGCTGGATTTTCCGGTAGATAATTGTGCGTAAAGCAGGATATTTTCCCCTTTTCTTTGAAGCTTACACTCTGGTTTAACCGAGAGAAACACCGCGTGAAGGGTCTTAACGACTGGAGTTAGTCGGCACGAGCATACAAAAAGCACAGTGCCGGCAGCAGGACCTTTGCCAAACTCGCGTATTTTGCGGATGATGATATGGAATATTTATAAGCAGCAACGCGCCAATTGGCTGTCGATGTTGCAAGGCTTTTGTAAAGACACGCAATTGGTTTTGCCGCAGGAAGCGCAAACTACACCAGAATCATTTCCATCTATTTGAACATTATTCTATTTTGAGCTTGGGAGGGGGTTGAACAAGGATTTTCAAAATCTGCGACTTATATAAAGAGGGAGCCTTTATAAATTATAACCATACCTTGGGAATTACACTTTTTTTGTACAAAATTAAGGACTTTCGTCGGCGCATCATCGCGCACTTCTCTTGCTGTGAGAACCGTATACGGGCTAGTGTCTCACATTCACAAAGGATGTGTGCCGATGTCTCTGGTTATTGCCAGAGTCCAAATGTTCCTGCCTCTTCTTTGCCCGTCCTTTAGGCGATAGTAAAGAGTGCAGTGGCCGATATAAAGGCCAATAATTTTCCACAGATCTGTGCCTGCTGAGAAAGAGGATTTCCTTCTCCTTCCTTTTCGAGAAATTTACACATCTCTTACATTTATACACCTCATACCTAATGCTAAAGAAGAGGTGGATAAAAGTTAACCTAAATAAATGCCAATACTAGAGAGCACTACTTCCTCTTCAACATAATTTCCTTAGCGCTATACATAGACAAACACCTTACGTCTTCAAATTAGACTTCAGACTAGAACGAAAAGAACAATATCGATATTACCTTTTCTCTCGACTCTTTGATAGACGATCAAAACAATGCCTCAATAACAGAAGATACACACTACTCTGTAAACTGGTGCTCACTGAAACATCCATGTCTTATAGAATACAATCCGTCCAGAATCCGTACCACCTTTTGAGGTATTGCAAACTTTTTTTCTACATCTTAGCCTTCACGATGACTTTAACATCTCTTTTGTTCTTCACGCCATAAAAATATAAAAATTCCACTTTTCAAACAATGGTCTTCCTCTGTTCCTGATAATCCTAAACCCCCTCTGTAGTTGAGAAGAAACCAAATGCTTTAATAACCTGTATGGCAAATAATGCATTCATTTTGATGCTTACCGACAAATAGTGGGCCATTTGGACTCACATGCAGCAGAAAGCTTTGAGAACATTACTTTATTTTTTTAAAGTTAACATATTACCTAAATAATTAATGAATCCCTATTTTAATAAAACCAGCAAAAGTATGAGCGTGTGTTTTTTAAAGATTGTATGAATTTCATGATTATGAATTAATACTTTTATATAATATTTTCAAACGAACTCAATCGAATTCCCAGGATTTCATAAAATATTATTATATTAATTACTAAATATTTCATTAAGTTTTATTGTTTTTGTTATTTTTGTTACAGTTCCATGAAGCCGATTGACCTGAAGGCCTAAAAACAATACGAAGTTGAACTGGTAAGGATTATTTTTATTTTTTTGCTAAATTAAAAATATTTTGAATGTGATAAGTTTCATAATGAGTTATGCTGCATTTTGTGCAATTCCCGGTAAAGATAGAGTACAAAAAACCTCTTTGATGTATTTACATGTTTGCATAAAGTTCACAAAGTTCAGCAGGTTAAAAAGCTGAAATGTTCACAAAGACTTGATTATGGGTTAAATAAATATCCCCTCTCAGCCTCTCAGTTCTATTTTTCTAGTTCTATCTCTTTCGATTTTCTGCATCTCTCTATCCGTATTTCTCTTGCTCTGTGTAGGTATATCATCTTTCTTTTAATTTCATATATATCTTGCTATCAATCAATGGTTTTATCTTTCATCCCTACAATGTAAATCAACCTTTCTTCCTCCTCACGCCCTTTCACTCTCTTTATCATCTCTCTCTGTCTCTTTCTACCTATGTCTTCTATCTATCTACCTCTAACTATTTATATCTATTTATCTATTCATTTCTACATATTCAGCTATCAATCTACAATATATAACTATTATGTATCTCCCTCGCATCAAACTTTTTTTAGCTGTCATTTTTACTCTCTCTCTCTCTCCCCATTTCTCTCTACCTTACCTTTGTCAAATTTGCTGCTTTTTTATTCCTTTGGTTCTACCCTGTTTCTTTATGTCCCCAGTCGTGCTTACTCTGCCAACTCCCCTCCGAATCTTTTTTACTAATCTCTCCCCCTTGTATGTGTATGTTTTATCGATCTCGCTCTCTTTTCATTTGGCTCTCACTCTCTCTCCCTCCCTTCCGCTCTCTCTTTCTTTCTTTTTCTATCTCTCTCTCTATGTCACCTATTTCACATTCTGCTTTCTCTTATTCTAAGATGCCATGCTGTTTACTGATTAAATTATTTAGAGCAATTATTAGACCCAAAATTTCATTTCCTGTCGCAGTAAAAAGAAGGAATGGTTCATAAATATAAATGAGAGCAGCAGCTTTGGATACAGGAAGTATAAACGAGTGTTTTCATATTTATTTATATGGAGGAGAGAAATCAAATCTGACCCAGATAACAACTCCCCAAAGCGTTCCAGATTTATTTGATGCTGACATATGTCGTTTGTAAAGAAAAAATACCCTTGCCGTTAACAGCTGTCTATCGGCACTACGCTCTGACAAATCAGGGCTCAACTTAGTTTTTATTTTGATAAATAGAGAAAAGTAACACGCTCAGAAATATTTATGACGCACGTGCTCACATAAAAGGCGGTGACGTTTTTCTCAACCGCATAATTGTGGAGAAGGGGAAAATGGGATAGTGAAAATTGGTTGTCTCTGCCATGGGCGGAATGTATAAGGGACAAGGATGTATAAAGTCCCTGACCTTCCTTCAATATTAGATTAAACTTCCAAGTCAAGACTGTTTGCATCAATATTTTCCACCTTTTTGAACCACCCACTCTGCATATTTATCTCTTAATAAAAGTAAAGTTCATTTTAAACTCTAGAATTTATCATTCTGCTTCAAACATTCTTTTGAATATTATTTAAAAAATGATATTTATGAACTAGTCGAAACTAATAAAATATACACAATGGTGAATTCGTAAAACTCATAACATTATTATCAACAGAAAAGCAAAAGAATATATAGAGATATAAGTGATAAATTATCTTTAACGGGAAAGAAAATGTAGTTGGGGCTTTCACGTTCATTGGTCTGTCAGGCGCGTTTCAGCTTATCGTCATCGTCAGTGTGCGGTTTCCTGCTCCTTGAGGATTGAAAAAAATTGATCGGAAATGAACAAGGCACAGACATGTGGAAATCTTACTTTATCAAGTATAAAACATTTTATAAATATTTATAACTTTTATGCCTGTTTTGCACTAGAAGAACAAAACACAACGATGTCGCGACTTCTAAAAATAAAAAAATCAATAATCAGACAAATTGACATCATAACATAGTCATTTTTGATAAAAATCGGCAATTATTTAATAAAGATTTTTATTTAATGTGTTTTCGTTATAATAAATTGCAAATAAAAGCAAAATCCTCTCGATTTCTTGGAAAGAGTGGTATTTACCAAATCTGTCTAATTTTACTTCCATTTCCCGAAATATTATATCAGAAGATTTAATGTATTTTCGTCAAAGATTCTTTTTGATAATTTATTGATCCATACGAATTTTACTAGACTAAATTGTTTAAATAATTTATAATTTATACAACATGGAACATATTTACGAACAAAATCTTGTGTACCTACAGTTGTTTCGTGGTTTTAACAATAAAACTACTAAATTAATATGATATACGAAAACCCAAAATACATTAAAAACCAGCCAAATAAAAAATTAATGTTAAGTATAAAATATGTAAAACAGTTTAAATATGTTTTTATTGATAATCATTATTTACGTCTATTTATTTAGAAATCGTGAGATGCGGTTCAGAAAAACATTTTCTTTATCGTGCCAACGTTTCGATCTTTATTGAGATCATTTTCAGGGCCTGAAGATGATCTCAATAAAGATCGAAACTTTGGCACGATAAAGAAAATGTTTTTCTGAAACCTACATCACACCAGACCGCATCTCACGATTTCTAAATAAATATCGATTAACGGTCACTAATCACCACTCATTTACGTCTATGTGGAGATCGTGAGATGCGGTAGTTATTGATGTAGGTTTAGAAACGTTTCGATCTTTATTGAGAACATCTTCAGGGCTCAAAGTGTGTGTTTTCAGTGTAAATGTGTTAGGGTTGTGTGTCGTGTTGAGTGTCTTGTTTTATTATTTTCGTCATTAATATTCAGTCATTGTTTCATCCAACCTAGTAATAGAAAGCTCCCTCAAACGGGGAATAATCAAATCCCTTTTGACCTTCAGAGGCAAGTAGAATTTAAATTATAAATCTTTTTTTACAGTGCCAGGTCTTTTTGAGAGCTTTTAAGTTGTAAAAGCACTTACATCCGGTTATTTAGCAATGCTGCAGTGGATTTGGATCTGAGCGAATTTTTAAAGAGCCGAAGGTGGTAGGATTATTGCCATCCACATCAATTATCTATAATATATATGTTTTAAATTCAAAGGTAGTGATAAAAGTTAAAAACAATATCTTGTGTAAAATCTGTTTTTCTTTGCTTTTGAGTTAGTTTCATCAAAAAGATACACGCAGTGAGATGAAAATATCGTAAGACGTCTTATGAGAAATCGGTTCAAATATCCGGCGTATATGTCCGAAATGCCGTTGTGTCCAAGGTTTTGGTCAACCAGACTGGAAACAGAGGGACGGAATTTCCAATAACAACCCATTTCAGAAAGCCCGACTAAAAGCCCCAGGAGGGAGCACCGCGTCGGGCCGGGGGTATTGCTCAGAATACAAATGACATTGTAATTTCTTCTTATCCGCCTCGTAACTTATTATCCAATTTAATTATCCAGCTTACGTTTGCTCTCTGAGTTTAGCAAAGTAAAATACCAAGCGGAAAAAATATCATTATCTTGAGAACAGCTCCCTTTCAACCACCCCTTTGTTGCCATTGTGAAAACCTTTTTTTTTTTAATGAGCCCTCCTTTGTAAAAATTTAATATGTTAAGTTTTTGTTCGTTAATTACATGAATTATACGTCCACTGAAAAGATTTTATTATTTAAAAATACATTTTGTAAACTTTCTTTTTCTGCTACCTAGAAATATGGTCATTAGAGAATTTGCAATACAATAAAAAACCAAAGTAATTAAATGTGACAGAACATATTTCATAGAGTTTAAATATCGATTTTACAAAAAATAGCCACCGTTCATGGATGATTATTTAAAAGCCATTGGAAATGAGGCAATTAAACTGTACCTAAACTCAGCGTAAAACTCAAAGCTGGTCTGGAAATGCTTGTGAATGCGTGTGGCTTATATACTGACGTGGCAAAACTTTAGGTTCCATAAAACCGTTTATTTAAGTTTGAACTCACGCAATAGACAAGAAATACTCAAAAAGAGACTAAACTATGCAGAGATGTACATATTCTTAGACATCCAAGCAGTACTGATGGCTACAGACTTCCCACCTTAAACTCAAAGATGGTATGTGAGTCAAATCTCCAATTCATGGTAAAATGTCACTGCAGGAACGTTACTTACATTGAGTTACGGCATGACGTGAGAGGATTGCAGCAATGGACAGACTTACAAACTATCAAAAGGAGAAGCAGCCCTCACACCCTGTAGACCAAAAACACAAATCGGCGCACCCCTAAACATGCTAAAAGCGGAACTGAACAAAATGACATCTCAACCAGGAAAAGGAAAAAGTACCTCTCCATCAACAGCAGGAATTAAGAAAAATAATAACCTTAATACTGGCCGTACCATTGAATTACAATAAGCACACAAAAATGGGAAAAACTGAAACACAAACCACCATGAAACAGCAGAGACATCGGAACATGTTCTATGTGACCGCAAAGTGCAAAGCGTTATTTCGGAAACGGTACACCCACTTCACAAATGTGAATGTAGTACCTAGGAATGATGGTGATGAGAAGGACGATAGTAGGACGTAGGGGTTTCGTATAAATCTCCAGTGCAGCTCTTTGGCTTATACAGTGAAACCCCTCTACAACGGGCAGCTAAGGGAACCGAAGAATTGTCCGTTGTGGAAAGGTGGGTAACAAACCACTAGAATTTATGAACAAAATTCACCCCATAACCAATGTTCTATGTATGTAATTAAAAAAATTTAAGAAATAGTCACAGAAAAAAAAAACAGTCCGTTATTTCATTAAAAAAGGTGTGTCCGCGGTTTAGAGAGGTTTCCGTTGTAGAGGGTTCCGAAATACATTGATTTCCTATATCATTGAATCGGGACCATTGTGGAGGGGTGTCCGTTAGGAGAGATTTCACTGTAGTACTTTTCCTAGTTGAGGGAGAAGAGACAGAGAAAATAATTGATTCGGACACAAGAGTCGCCTAAGAATAATAATGATACAATATTTTACAAATTTGGCAC